AATAATAAAAGCTATTGAAAGGTGCCTTGGAATAACAATATTGGTCAATATCTCTTTTTTTTTTTTTTTAACAACAACACAATTCATGCTAACTGTATAACATATTATCACTCACATTTACTTCCTTAATTTATTACTCAATCATACGCAAGTAACTTAATTAATTAGCAATGATCTTTGCATAATTTGGATCATCTACTATTTTTTGATAGCAGAAAATATCAATTGAATGACTGAAGTAATCAATCGATCAATCAATCAATCAATACAATAAATGTATTTAAACGACAGAGAAAATGTTATACAAATTATTGAATTCAGCAATTATATATTTCTTTTCCTTTTTTTTTCTTTTTTAATTTATTTCATTTGGATGCGCGATAAAAATGCTTGATAAGAAATTTGCTTGAAAACAAATGCACCTCACAGAATGATAATTAATACCATTTTATTTATGCAAATTGCATGATAATATAAGCAAGAATAATTGCAAGCTAATATATTTTCATTTACAATTGAAGCAAATAATGCAATAGTAAAAATTAGTAACCGTATTTTTCAATTTATTTAAAAAATATTTCCTGCATTGTAAAGTTTTTTCGTTTTTTTTTTTCAATACGAAAATTTATCAAAGAATAAACACGAATGAAATAATCTGATTAATTGATTCATAATTAATTTAGCATTTAAAAATTAATTAATGAGAAATTAGCCTTCATTTATACTTATCACATATAATGAAAAATCAAAATAAATCACTTCTTATCATATTTCTTTTATGGTAATTTCATGATTGTTAATATTAGCTGCAAGTATTTGTAATCAAAAAATTAATCGAATTAATTAGAATGGAATTTTTCATTTCAAATTACAATTCTCTCTTTATTTTAATTTTAACAATTTCATTCATATCAGCTATCACACCTCAAATTAAACTAATCAATCAAATGTTAGAATTAGCAAAGAAGGATGATTTCATTGGGCATAAAATAACACTGAAAAATAGTAAAATTAATTTTAAAACTGATTTAAAAAAAAAGGAAAAGTGGATAGTTGCATAGGTAAAATATTGAAGTTATCGTTAAAACTTTGATTATTTTATATGCAATCAGCAATTATTCGTGAAATTTGAAGTGGAAAAAATAATTTTTGAATATTATCGAGGAAAACTTTCGGATTATTTGCATCTAAAAACGATACCAATCCATTTCATAATTGTTATTGTTTTTTTTTTTCGGTAATAATATTATCACTTGATTATGAAACGTTCGGTTCGGTATTTTCTGGTGTACGTGATTCAATGATAACAGCACTGATTGTTACAAATAGTTTTGAACGTTATAATAGTATCATTCATTATTTGCTTTACCACTCAATAAATTACAGTCTGTCGATATAAACTGCATTAGCTTCTGCTGATAACAACACAAGCATTTTCAGACCATACTATGGTGATAAGATATTAATCATAATGTAAAAAAAAAGAAGAAATGACAATATATTGTTAAATATTTTAACCGATAACCAAAAATAGAGCATGGGATATTGATAACAACTTGCTATGGTAATTTTACTAACACTGGCAATGATAACCAGCAAAAATAATGGTATAAACAATTGCTATACTGGCAATGATCTTTGGTTATAACGATTACTGATAATGTAATGATAATGATAAAAGCCTAAAATATATCTTGCTCAGAATAGTTTGTAATTTTTTAGTTAAGTGAAGGAAATTAATGAAATAATTTTGGGCAAAAATTTTGAAACTTCAAAATTTTTGATTCAAAAATAAAATAAATATTAATATTCCAATAGTTATAGCAAATAAAATACTCAATAGTTTTGAAATTTGTTTTTAATGTTTATGATAATAATAACTTTCTTACAACTCTCTTCAATATATCATTAAACGTTCAAAAAGATTACAATTCTCTTCTTATAATTACCTAATATTTACAAATTGATAACATCTGTTATCCGTAGTACTTTGCGAACCCGGTCATTATCATAGTCTCTTATCAAAGAAATGCGAACACTGCCCTCGAGGTTACTATCAACATCGATCCGGTAGACCACGATGTCACAAATGTCCTCACGGATATACGACACTAAATACCGGATCTCTTCATATTACCGAATGTGTTGGTTTGTGTTTGTTCTATTCTTTGAAAATGTTAAAGTTCATTTACATTTTTAATCCTATCAGTGTTATCATATGTTTGAATATTATCAATGATTACACGTAATGGTTTGCAGTAGAATGTTCTGCTGGTCATTTTCTAAATGAAATAACCGGTAAATGTGAACCATGTGGTTATTTGGCTTATCAACCAAATCCAGGCTCAAGAAATTGTTTACCCTGTCCACATAATACTGTTACTCTTAGCATCAATTCAACTTTAATTGATCAATGTATTGGTAAAGATTTTTTTTTTTCAATACTTGAAAGAAATGAGATACATATCAAATTAGCAATGATAAGCTGATAAGTTAATTATGATGAGTTAATTATCATATCCAATAGCGGAATATTTATTAGATTTGAAGCATTTTATTGGAAATTATTGAAATTTCAAAATTATTATAAAGTAAATTTTTTGCTAATTATAATCAATTATTTATTGGTTACAACTGAACATGCAATATTTTTGATCAGAAACTGATCTGTTTTTTTTTTTCTATTTCAGGAAATTGTCCAGCCGGAGAGGAACATTCATCTGATGGTAGCTGTGTACCGTGTCAGCGTGGATTTTTTAAGGAACCGAACGATGTTTTATGTCGACCCTGTGATCCGGCATATATTACAGAATCAGTTGGATCAGTAAGCGAGAAATCTTGCATATTACGTTAGTCTTAATTACTTAATTATTCATCAGATCGTTTGTTATCATTAATCAATCGTATTGAAAATTTGTTTCTCGCTGAAGCGGAATTTATATTATTGCTTTTGAAGGATTAATAACACGAAATTTTGATGGTACAATAAAACGGTAGCAAATAAAATTAAAAATATCGAATTATTAATGTGAAATTTCATTAAATCGAAATGGTCATTCTGGATTTCCACGCTTTGAATTGGTATTACAAATAGCATAGTATCAATGTTTCCGGAATTTGCTCAGTTTGATAATTTCAGCAAACTGTCAACAAGGATATTACTTAAATTGGCATTATAAGCAATGTATGAATTGTAGCTATGGTTATTATCAGGATGAAATTGGTTCTAATTCCTGTAAACGATGTCCATCCGGTACCACAACAAGGATTCTTGGTAATTATTTCGTATGTCATATTAGTGAAATCATTGTAAGTAATGTTAATATAAATAGAATATGGCAAACTTTAGAATTTACCAGTTTTTTTTCTTTTTTAATTTCAGGTGCTACATCCATAGAAACTTGTGTTTCAACGAATCAATGTGCAAGTGGTGAACACAGTTGTCATTGGTTGGCGGCATGTATCGATTTACCTGATAAAGAAAACAGACCAACATATAGCTGTCGATGTCAACCAGGTTTTGTCGGAAATGGTTTTACCTGTACCGGTTAGTTCAATGTCCAACAATTTAATCATAGCATAGGGTTGAAAAAGTAACGTCATTTATTGACTTAATGAGATGAACTAGGCCACTGGTCAAGAGCTACACTTAAATGATGTCCACTATAAGATCAAATGGTCAACCAAGGTTTGTTAGGGGATTGTTTTTTTGATTATGCTCATTTAAATTAGCAAATATGTTGGATAGACATAACAGTGTTACAATTATGTTAACCTATGTCAATGAAAATGTTAAATTATCGTGAATTTTTTTTTTTCTCATCGCACTGGAGCAAATTAACGATGAAGTTTTTTTGTACTGTTTGACACGGAAGTAAGAAGTTTGATAAAGGTTTATTGATGACAGTGATAGATTTTATTATTTGTAGACTATTAGCGGTTGGATTTCTTTCTGGCATAAAGGGGAAATTCAGGCTGTTAAGTAGTTGTTGAATTGGAGTTTGAAATAGGAAGACTTGTAGAACCAAACTGGTGACTTGTCACATACCGAATGAAGCTTATCATTAATCAGTAAAGGAAACTCCTTGTATAGTGCGTGTGGCTTACAAAACAAATACATTACATAAAATATTAATTGTCAAATAAAAGACTGCGATTAGTTTAACGGAAATCTCTAAACATATCAACCATCGGTTAACAGATCAGATAATATACCCATCAACAATATACCATTAATATTCATAAGTTGGATTATCAAACCAGCTGTAAATTAAAAATCAAAGATTACAAGGAGTTTGATTATCAAAGTAGCAATTCCTTTACCACAGTATTATGGGAATTGAATTAATGATTCATCACATGGGACGTTGGAAATTTAATTTAATTTGATTTTTTCTTTCCAATAAATCAATTATTGGAAAAATGTTCTAAATAAGAATATTTATGATACAAATTTGCAATACATATACTTTAAATGTTTCAACGTATTGTCAATTTTCTCATATTCTCCAATGGTTTTAATATAAATACAAAATAAATACAATTCTATTTCTAATAAGTCATTAATTAAAATTTTTTCTTTTTAATTTCAGATATTTGCTTAGATTTATGCTACAATAACGCGGAATGTATAAAAACATCACGTGGTGAACCGCGATGTATTTGTAAGCCTGGTTATCGAGGATTACGTTGTGAAATTAAAAAATAATTATATAATCATAAAGAATCAATAATTTATTCTAATTTCAAATTTACTTCTAATTTATTGTTTGTTTTTTTCTTTTTTCTTTTCTTGAAATTGGAATTGTTGGGAATAAAATAGATTAGTCATAATATGCTTATAATATAATTGTTTAAGGCATTTATTTAAATTTTTCAATGATTAAATAAGTGAATGATAAGCAAATTAAGCTATAATTAGAAATACAATTGATCAGTTATACTTTTATAAATTCTGTCAAAATTTGAAAAAATATTTTGTTAATTTCAATGATTAATCTGTTAGTATGCAGAAGAAAGGAAAAAAAGATATTTAAAAAAAACGACAAAAACAAAAATGACACGCTAATTTAGTCGTCATTATCCTGATAATGCATGCATTCCGGATAGATATATCAGAATCGAATATAATAACTCATATATCTTTATAATAACTCCCATATATTTTATTTGTATCGGATTGGAATAATTCATTAAATATTTGTTCACGTTTTCAATATAGCTGAAAATTTTCAAAAAATATCGAAAAGAAGCTAATGATTACACTGATACTGTATATTACTATCATATTTGTTAAATCATTTCATGTAATTATTACATTTTATGAATTCTTGTTAACCAGGTTTATTTCTTTGTTCGTATCGATGTTTTAAATAACCCAATAAGTTTTGAAGGAATAAATTTTGTTGAAATTAAGTATGTATGTACTAAAAGAAAAGCAATCATACTGTATCAGCATTCAGCACAATTAATATTTTGTCGCTTTTTTTTTCTGTTCAAAGAATTCAGATTAGAAAATATTCGAATTATGAAAGAAGGATAGTTAAATTATGGAACAGATTAATTAATTGATAATCATCAAACAATCATTTCATTTTACCAATGATTATTTTATTGCTAGTAACGAATTATGGTAATATTCAAGGAATAAAATTATTATTTTAAACTAAACTTTTTGATATTTTGCATATCAGACAACTTTTAAACTGCCTTTCCTCTGCTTTCATTGTGTTTTTTACTTTATCAAACTATTCAATTTGTAATAATATTATCAAGTTTTGCGCATATTATTATCATTGGGCGGAAAAATATCAAAATTAAGTAATGCAAGGAAAATTTCATCAAAACTTAGTTTTCATTCTTTTTAATACATCTGGGAAATTAAAAAAAAAATGAATTTTTCAAATTTCATTTAGTGTTCAAATAGTATTTAAAAATTTCGATTATTCCGAGAGAAGAATTAGATAATATCCTTTCGTTATCCATTTAAAGTAAAGCAAAACAAAACAGAAAAAAAAAAGAAAAAGGAAAAATAGGAAATCATATCAAAGCATGAAATATCAATCAAATGAAATAGCATCATTAAAATATTAAAACGAAAAGTCGGCAAAATACAATAATGAATATGTATTCAATAAAAGTGAACAGTTAAATTCTGCTTCATGAATATAAACTAACCGTTAAATTGAAGTACCACCAGGTGTGTAAAAGTTTTCGAGAGAATATCACCGTAACAAATAATTATTTACTATCCAATGTAGTGAAGTGATTGAAGTTTTTTTCTTTTTTTTGTCACTTAATATGACAAGTTTAATGAAAATCTTTCTAAATTTAAACATATCTTCTTGGATGTAATACTTTTCAATACTAAAAAAGAAAAAAAATCTTTCAAAATATTTTTAAATTTAATTTTTCATTCGTTTAAATGTTGAAATCAGTAAGTTCAATCAATAAAAATGGCACAAGAAACAATTGCTTTTATTAGCATTTAAAAAAAAAGGAAATTATTTCTGAAATTTGCCAAAAAAAATTGTTTACTCATAAAAAAAAAGAATCTATCCATGAGATCAAACACAAAGAAACCGGCATAAATAGCAATTTTTTTTTTTTAGCTAAAAATAGCATTGATTTAACAAAGTAAATTGTTGAAAAAAATTTTTGAAAAAAAAACGAAATTGTTACATTCTTTGTTTAAAAGTTTTTTTTTTTCATTCACCGTTGTTATGCAAAAGCAAATAATATTATTTGATGAAATAATTTATGCCTGACTAGTATTATTCAGCTTTGATATTGAATATTTGTCGTTGGTGGTTGACAGCTCACCCGTAGTGCCAAACTTTTTTGATAAAACTCTTCGGCTGGATCGGTACTAAATATGTTAATTGTTAATTTAAAATTTTGCAAAAAAAAAAGAGGAAATAATATTTTGATTTGAAATTTTTTTATTTGTCATCTAAGATTAACTTTTGAATAATTAATTGCCAAAAAAAGAAAAGAGGAAGAGAACGGAAAAATAAATTTACGTAGGCATTGGTGCGCCGAAAGTATGAGCACTTGGTACAGCTCCATAAGCAGAAGCTGCAGGATAGGTCATCGGATGAGCTACTGGATATGGCTGATACCTGAAATTATTACTATACATATGCTTGAATTTGCTAGACTAAAAAAAAAAAAAAGACGCTGATAAGATTCATTGATAATTAATTTCCTTATGCAAATTAATTGAAAGTACTGAATAAAATATCTTTGAAGTGAATTGTAATAATTTTGTAACTGAAAAAATAAATCAATTAAAAATTATTGGCTTAAAATTCTGTAAGTTTCATCTTAACTTTTAACTAATAATAACCAATTCCTTGTATATCAGTAAAAAGATAAAATGATTTAAGTGATATGAAATAGTTTAAATTATCGATTGATTTTAAAATTAACATTATGATCAATTTTTGTATTTTTGTTTTTTTTCCACCTAATATGTCAAATATTTTTAAAATTTTAAAAGTTTTCTTAACAGAAGTTTAAATCTTAAATGTATTATTATTATTATTATCTTTTTCTTCTATACCAGAAAGAGTCAGCAGCAGCTCGAGCAGACATAGCGGCAGTGGATGGATACATTGGCGTTCGCATAATTTGACCTGCGGCACTTTGTGATGGAAATACCGTCTGTGGTACCAAAGCTTTTGATAATTGTTTTTCTTGTTTACGATGCTTTGCACGCCTATTTTGAAACCAAACCTGATAATAATATAAAATATTTTTCGTTTCATTTCCATTTCAAAAAAATTCTTTTGCAATTATATAATTCTTTTTTTAAATAAAAATTTTTTTAATTTCAACTTTTTTCAGAATTATTTTATTATAAGTAATTAAATAAGTTTAATTATTCGTAGTACAATAAGTATGCATATGTGGGTGGTATATTATGAATTTCAATTCATTCTTCTTATTCTATCCGGTTATGATGAAAAAGTAGCATTAGATATAAGGTATATATATATATATATATATATATATATATATATATATATATATATATATA